GTGTACAGAGGAGTATAAATTCTCCTATTCTGATCTTATGGCAAGACTTCTATAACAAATTATGACACAACAATATAGGACAGAACAATAGAATGTGTATCTTCTGTTTGGATTTCGTATAACGTTTTGTATAGGTTCTTCCAGAGACTCTCGGGTGACATCTACTGGAGGTAAAAAAATAAAAAAAGCAGCATTTGACAAATGATTCAATTTGAAAAACGAATCATTTCATAAAACAACTGAAATATGTTTTCTTCACCCTATTTCAGTATTGGTAACTGAGTTCAAATATTATAACAAGTGCCCCAAATTCATGAGCTTGACTTCAAATTCATGAGACATTTAAAAACATATATTTTTAATGAAAATTGTGGTTTTCAAATATTCATGTCTCCAGGAGATGAAGCTTAAAGGAAAATAGACTTTGGATAAAATCAAGAGAGTTGGCAGTATGCACTGTCCAAGGTAGATAAAATGGGGAAATATCATTCCAGTGTGAAAATGAACCTATAACAATGTGGACCTATCGAGGATCTGCCTGTTTCTTTTCACCTCTGATAACAGGAATGATGCATAGAGAGTTTTATTGAATTTTCTTTTCACTGACTTGCTTTGAGAAACAAATCGTATCACGTCACTCATATTCTCAGATACATGTTTCAAACACACACCTAATATCCAATCCCAGTTAAAGATGATGACATTTAAAAAAAATTATAGACTTCCAAAAATATATGAAAATTTGTAAATGAGGTTTTGGTTTTGTTATCTGAAGCTGAATACTAGTTAAATTATATTAAATAGAATACTTTCTTTTTTTTTCATTTAAATGTTTATAGTCATTCTACATTGTACCGTGCTTTGAGTATTATCACATTGCAATTATTACAGCTTTTAAAGTATCACACAAAAGATAATTTTGATTGCTTTGTATTTTTTTATTACGCGTTCTTCTCACATATATATAATTTCAAGTTTGTGCGGGTCTCTGTGTGTCTCTGTGTGTGTGTATGTAGTCAAGAATTTCAAATTCAAGAATCCAAATCCAAGCATCTTTTCTGAGTTTGATGGAGAACTTCCCGAGATTCTTAAAGAAATGTGTCAAAAACTCTCATACTCTTTTTGGACTGCACGCAACAGTGCAGAGCACGCAATGAACATGAAAAAGAACCAACAAGTAAGTCAAGAAACAGAAGGAAGAATTCTGTGTACCCTTTATTGGCCACTTAATTATGGCAACACTTAACCAAGATTAATCATTGCATTTTAGGCAAACTACTTGCAGAAGCAGTACGAGTAGTGTAGGAGAACAACAGATGCCTTTCTGTTACATCTCAAACCAGCACCACAGTAGCGAGAATCAAGCTGAGTAGGAAATTACCATTTGTATTGTATTCACCTGAGCAATATACACTCATTCCCATGGGCCTGGGATTTGCATTTTGAACTTCCTGTGTATCAGAATAAAAATACATCGAACTTTAATAGATACCACAAAAACAATAAATAACCTGTACTTTCTTCAAACTTAAATTCACCCAATAAACTCGAGTTGTTGTTTTCAAGCTTTGTTTTTTTCCTAATGAAAGCTGGAACCCAAAGATTATCCTTCGTATAATTCACTTTCGTAATTAATCAGTCCAATATATACATGTAATTTCCTGTGGTTTATTATAAATTCCAGAAAGCACGTGCAACTATAATGTTACTACAAAATGTACAACTTGTTTTTTTTATTACCAGGACAAAGTTATTCTGGGGACAGATTACCCTTTTCCACTTGGGGAACTGGAACCTGGAAAATTGATTGATTCGATGGAAGATTTTGACAACAAACTGAAGGTATGATCTTTACATTTGGGGGTTTTTCCCCTTCTTTTTAAACGTCTGGCTTTAGACCTGAGATAAAACACTGAAAAATCAGTGTAGTACACCGATTTCTGCAAAGACTGGAAGAGGCCCTTTAGTCTCTTTGCAGCACTTCATTTTAAAGCACGAGTAAAAGCATTTGGGTGAAATATGAGTTAAGCACACACACATACATGTGTTTTGTTTCTACAGGACAAACTCAAGGCTGGCAATGCTCTGGAATTTTTGGGTCTTAGCAGAAAACAATTTGAATAATTATGAAGATATTAAAGAGACGGAACTTCGGAAATAACGCTGAATCCTTAGGGATACTTCTATTTGCATGTGCAATTATACAGATGAAAAATAAATCTGAGAAGTATACTACAGTCTACGGTTATTTCCAAAACGAAAGCAAGGCTACTGGAAATGAGTATGCACAGTTATTTCTGTGCATTTGAGGATTTAGGTTGTCTTTAAACAATTCTGAAATCCCTGCTTTCATCTTTTGCAGTTGTAATAAGAATCTCTGAATGATAATCAGTGTCATGTTATTAGGACTTGATTCCCAGGAAGAAAGAACTGAGAAAATTGTGACTTGTCTCCATTACATTTCAGGCTTTGTTATGCCCAACAAACAGAATTTAAAAGAATCTTAAAACAGAATTTAAACAGAATTTTGCTGATGCCCAATAAAAGGCAACATTTGCCTTTATCCACCGATTGAAATTGCAGCGTACCGCACTTCAGCTCAGCACTGCAAGTATATGCACTGACGCTTTGTAAATGTTGTGATAGAATGAAAAAGGTCTATGTGGGGACTTGTACTTTTTAGCTGCCTCCTACACCACTGGCAACTTATTGTTTAAATTGTTTCTGATGAATATGGTTGTAGGTGCAGAAATAATGTATTTATGTGGGTAATACGTTGTGCGTCACTGTCACTGTCAAAATAAATACTAGTGTTTAGCAACAGTATGGTTTAATGTTCTATTCCTTAAAAAATACTTCCTAAAAGTAAGGTTGGATACTTTAAATGTTGAAATGTTAATGCTCTATCTAGTTTGAGTCCTGCTATAGGAATGGAAAGATGGTTTACTTTATACGCTATTGATTGATATGGGTTTTCGCCATTATCCGGTGAGTGCACAGGCATCCTCCTCCTGAGAGGATTTTATACTAGTCAGAAAAATGCTGATGAGCTCTCACAGTCCCCGTTCTCATGGGATCGTTTGCTGGCTACGTGTGGTGTCACCATTCTTCCGTTTAGTCGTAGAATACTCCAGGAAAAATAGTGTCAGACAGAATTTGGTTTTGTAGCTGTGTCCGTAACTGCCCTTATGTCACAGGCTGAACCTGAAGGATGTTCAGCAGCAGCAGTTCCTGCGGGTACCAGCCTCTGTTGGACTACAAAGAAGGCTTTGTCCTTCTTTACAGTGTCACAACCCAAAACAAAACAAGAAGTGGTTTGTGCAGGTCGATTGTATGTTTTCCTAGCGATTGCATTTGGATCTTTACTATGTTGCTTCTCCAAATATATTCCACAAAAGACAACCGGACGACAGAAGCTGAAGTAGGCAGCAGCTCACAGGTTTAGGCCCTGGGAATATCAGGTTTTCCTGTAAGAGGAAAAAAGGACCTAGATAAAATAGCTTTAACAATATTTATTGTCCTCAGGTTCGCAAGACTTCTGTTGACCTTTTTTATTTAAATATCTACGTGCAAGCATTGAGCTACTTAAAGGTACGATTTTTCAACCAGATTGTTCTAATTAAATGTCAAAGTAGAAGAAAGGTAACTTGGTTCTCATATAGTATTCTTTTCCTTCAGCGTATTTGATTTTCACAGATGTTCCAATGGATTTAAGAGGAAAATACATTGTGATTCCTCCAATACATTTTAATTGGGTTGATTCTTCTATTTTTTTATGAATGAAACCAGTTAAGTTAGCGAGAATGCAATGTTACATCTTTGGGGACCAAGGTCTGGAACCTCTCCAATAGCAAGAACAGTATTTAATTACCTTAACCTGTGACTGAATGGGTGATTGCAGCACTCTGCGTGGCAATTAATTAACGTGCATACCCTGCATAAATCAGATTCATTATGCACTGTCATTATTTAATGATATTCTACTTATTCTCGGTGTGTTAAGATTTTTAAGACAGGGATATATATAATCTTCCCTACATCTTCCTTTTTTTTTTCATTAACAAAGCTAATGTGAAATTCTAATTACAGTCAGACGAGAACATTCTTAATACTCTTCCACCAGTTGTTGAAGGAATAAAAAATGTGAGTTGAACACCCAAGCTCCATGCATTTTACACAACGATTAAACGATGAGGTAAAACATTGTACTTCCAAGATTGTTAAAGGCACAAAAATATGAAGGCAAAGATCAGCTCCTAATTACAACACAAGCCTTTGTAGTTAAATTTCCTCTGCACATGCAAAATCTTAAAGATGATTTACAGTTGGGAAGATTAGGCAAGTAATTCACGTCTGTCTGCGCTGCGTTATACATCTGTATATTTCATTAGTGTTCTGTTGGGTCCAGTTACAAAGTTATAACTGCTTGTGTAAAATTTGCACTGAAGTTGTAGAAGAACCAGCTGCAATGTAACTTTAGGTGAACAAAACCACTGTAGAGTGCTAGTGGCATATGTAAGCGCGAGAAGAACGCTTGGAACTCGTTTCGATCCATGATGATCAGAACTTGAAAGAAAGACAAATACCTTTTCGTACCCTTTGAACCCTGAACCCACGATCTCAAGCTACAGCTGAAAATCAGTAACTGAGTACGGAGCGCCCTGCGAGAAGTATCTGCCAGCTGCCATTATAGCAGGTGGTAAAATAGATTTCAGTGGAGTCGCGGAATAGGCTGTGCTCGAGGTGTAAGGAAATCGGGGAGGGCTATGTATTTTCCTGAAGGGAAGACAGAAGGCTGGAAGAGACAGAAGTGAGGATGTTTCATTCCAGCACTTTACCGTGTCGGCTGTGTCACTGCTTGGGCACCTGGGAACGAGTCTGAGGCTTAACGATAGCCATGTAAAAGTAATGTTTGGTAGCATATTACTATTTAAGGGTGAAATAGGAATGGGCAAAAAGTTTAGAAAGTGACCTTAATTCTTAAAGGTAGCTGAAGCGTGATGCGGGAGAGGTTTGCCAAGTTCCTGTCCAACACGATGTGAGCATATGCATCTTCTCCATGTATTGGAGAATGACTGACTTGCTGGAGCTATTACACTGGAAGGACACAACGTATCACTGGACAGCTTTAATTCCGCCTTTTTGGCACCAAATTCCTGAGAAATACTACCTGTAGAAGTTAGTTATTGCTTATATGGGTGTGATTATCACATACACCATGCACTCGAAATGCAGGAATTGCTGTGCGATTCTTAAGTGCTCCTGCCACTTAAGAGAGGAATGCTTTGCCTAGATGTTTGCTACTTCCAGTACCAAGAAAAGAATTAGAAGCACAGCATGCCTCTCCGTCTCGGCAGTTTTCTTGCAGAATGAGTGACTTCTAATATGTTAAAGACCTTTCCACCTTCTCCCCACAGCCTCTATTGCCAGTTCTTTAGTCTTTCCGACACAACAATCAATTGGCGTTTCCAAGTATTTTAGCCCTTAAAACAAGACGTTCGTTTATTCCGGTGCCCCCATACAACCGATTTCAAATCCGCAAGAACCAGAAGGGCAGCCGAGCGTGGGAGGACCATGCTTTCTGGGTCGTACGTGGCCCATCGGTGACGTGGGGCCCCCCTCGCAGCCACGCGCCACAGGCCTGGCTCTAGCTTCTCAGCCCAATTCCATTGCTGTCCCCGGCGGGCAACGCTTAAAGGCCGCTCTTTCGGGAGCGAACGTAAATCCTCGCTGAAAGCCTAAAAGTTAGCGGAGGTCACGTAACCAGTGGGGGATTTGAGGTTCACTCGGTTCTGAGGCAAGGGGTGCTGACTCGTAGGAACCGGTAGCCCATTTCGGAACGAGATCACGCACCGCGGCCCGTGTCTTCAGGAGGGGTAACTCTCTGATCTGGCAAAGCCCCCGAAGGCTTTAAGAGCTACCCTCTCCCACCCCGGCTGCGCACTCCCGCCCGCAGACGACAGCTTCTGCCCGCCCGTCCCGTCAAGTCTGAGACCTCAGGAGGAGCGCCCGGCCGCGCACCC